CTGCCGATCTTGAATGGGGGGCCCGCGTTTCCGATAGGATTAAGCTAGACTTACTGCTCGGTCAGAAACACGGCGCGTCGCAGTAACCCCCCACCCCAAACCTAGCCTAACCCCCTTGTTCGCCCGGCGCATTAGGAGCAATCATATTCGACGGCTGCTAGGTTTTGGCATCGGTTCGTGTTGCTTAGGCTCGCTGGCTATTTGCGGAACAATGATTGGTAGTGTCTTAGTTTGTAACGTCTCTAAGGTTCAAAATCGTCTGTTTAAGACTTTATCACTGCATATCCACCTGTGTTTGTACTGCTATGTGAATAGAGTTCATAATTGCAAAGAAACTTCTGAACTGTGAGAGGCTAGAATGAATCTGATGTGGGTCCTACTTCGAACAGTTCACACATTGATGTTAGTGCATTGTTAATGTATTTAGCATCTATAAGCTCTTAATTATAATTATATATACTCGCACATTGTTACCTACATTCTTGTTTCTTTGTTGAATCTTTTAAAATATATAAAAAATACAAATAATATTTTCGAAAATAGCTTTAATAGCGACCTCAACTTTACTATAGAATCATTTTAATTAAAAAATTATAAAATACAAAAAACATTTTTCACTAAAAAAGAATTAAACTGTAAGTTATTGATTATTGAAATTAAAGAAAAAAATCGGTTAGAAAATATCCAAATATGTAGTTTACTATTGACACAACTGATATTTGTAAATTAGATAAAATAATAACTAAAAGAGAAAATGAAAATACTGATAGAACTATCACTACCAAATTACTTAATAATAATAGGTTAAGCATTTATGTTGGCTTTGAGAGAATATGTGTTATTCATACTTTTCATACAAAATTAAAACATAAAATACGGAGAATTCTGGGATTAATACTAGATATTACATCAATAAGACACAAACAAAAATAGATAAAAAAGAAACTTAGACCGGCAGTAATCGCATTAGCTCATTCAGCGCTCTAATACATTTCCTAGAAATATTGATTGCATTAATTCATAAACTTCTTACTAGGAACAGTTGGTTGTTTCAGTTGATACTGTCTATATTTAGTTTTTATTTAGAAAACTGCTAATATCAATAGATATTTCGTTTGTAATATTTTTTTTTTGGGACTACATTACTAGCTCTTGGATTATTTATTGAGTTAACAGCTTAACAGATTTAATTTTTTTTTTAATACAACTTAGAATGGCAAACAAGCTGACGGCCCACCTGATGGAAACTGGTAACCGTCGCCTATAGACATGAGCAGTACCATGGACATAACAGGGTATACTGTTTCGCCCATGATACCCCCCCCCATGCGTTACCATTCCTGAGAACTCAGATGTTATTCCTCTGTACCCTGTAAATTCACGCCATATCCCATCCTTCAAACCGTAACAGCAATGCAAACACAATTGCTTCACGGTAGAAACACAAATGGGACAGAGGTACCCAAGCAATCGACTTTTGTACAAAGTCTCCCTCTGTTAGTAGTTAAATGTACTTTGTCATGGACAAAATTTTTCTTTTTTTTTATACACCACGAAGGTGGCAAACAAAAACAGCCTGTCTAATCGTAAACGGTCATTTTTGGAATAATATTGAATATACTTTTCTAACCGGCAATGCTGGTTAGTTTACAATTCAAATATTAGACAATGTCGCATACGATAGCTAGTGAATTACGTCAACAATAACATAACTGTATATGCGTAATACGCTTTTGGTCGATCGATGTGATTCGATGGTGACCAATAAATATTTACCTCCATTCGAAGTCCGACGTTCAATACCCGAGGGAGAAAACTGCAAGACAATGTTGAAGTTATGACGTCCTATGTTAACTCTGCTTTGTATCATATTTGTACCTATAGATTTCAAGGTAGAATGACATAACTGTTACATACAGTTGATCTGAATCATTAACGTGAGTAAAAATAACAAATTTGCTTTAAATATATAAAACATTTATAATACTAGATAGCTAATTGTACTTACAAACAAAAATGTTTCACTAACGTGAAAGACGTATTGAAATCGGTTGCAATATTTAGAAGCAGTAAATGGAGTGAGAAAAAAATGCGGGCAGTAACTTTGTTTTATACTACGAGTATTATTAGCTTTTAACCCGTGACACCATCTGCGTGACCGGAATAAAAAGTAGCCGATCTTCTTCATCTCATATCTATATGCACATACTAATGTACACACCAAATTTCAAAGTGATCGATTAAACCATTAAAACACTAAGAAGTAATGAACAAACTCACTTTCACATGTATATTATTAGTCATATACTGCCCGTGTGGACCCGAAACTTTTTTTTTATACAATGTAGAATGGCAAACAAGCTGACGGCCCACCTGATGGAAAGTGGTAACGGTCGCCTATAGACATGAGCAGTACTGTGAACATAACAGAGTATACTGTTTCGCCCATGCGTTGCCATTCCTGAGGACTCAGGTGTTATTCCTCTGTACCCAGTAAATTCACGTTATATCCCACCCTTCAAACCTGAAACACAGCCATGCAAACACAGCTGCTTCACGGTTGAAACACGAATGGGACAGAGGTACCCAAGCAATCGACTTTTGTACAAAGTCTCCCTCTGGTAACTAATCGAATTTCTTGATTTAAATACATGTAAGTGAAACAGCTGAAGTGGTAATGAGCTGGTCACATAGCTGGAAGAATCAACAACGGATGGGGAAGAATGATTCTTGAGTGGCGACCGCGTACGTGCAAACGCAGTGTAGGACGTCCCTCCACTAGATGGAGTGACGACCTGAAATGCATTGCAGGGAGCCAGTGGATGCAAGTGGCTCAGGACCGTTCTTTATGGCAGTTTATGGCGAGGCTTATATCCACCGGTGGACGGATAATGGCTGAAATGATGATGATGAAGTAAAACAGGTATGTAGTTATTTATATATACATTATTATTAAAATATAATATTTATTTACGAAATTTTTAACAATAAAATTAGTAAAGATCACGATTTAAAGATAAGCATATACAAAACACATAGCCGTGTGGTCCTGACATAGAATGGATCACTCCTCCCTTTCCCGTGAGTGTCGTAAGAGGTTACTAAGGAAATGTAATAGTTGAGGGAGGGAGGGAGGGGTTTTTTAATGGATGATAATGGAAAGGTAACTTCGCCTGCGCTATCGGTATACACTGGCGGGGTACCGGTGAAGGATTATTGGTAAGGATGAAAAGGCAGGTCAGTTAGCCCATCATGACAACGATACATTCAACGATAAATTAGTCACGATGGTTTCCAGATTGATAGCGTAGCATCGCATAGTGATACCTCCCTATTACTAACAATCCCGTCCCCCGTCTAACTACGGTTGTCAAACCGCCTGCCAAGCATGGCAACCACTGGCGAAACCCACCAAGGGGAGGCCTATGTTCAGCAATGGACCGTTAACGGCTGATACGATGATGATATGATGATGATAATATGCAATAGGTACCATTGCCTGTAGGTATTTATCCTATGCATTAAAAATTGACTCGTAAATTTTCACTAATATTATTCATTAAATATTACTTGATATCATGATGGCTGAACCAGTCGTTATAAAATTTAATAGACATAGTATTTGGACAAACGCTATAAGTCGCAAGTACTATAACTAGTATATTTTTAATATAAATACTACAGAATAACTGTGCATATTACATAAATAAACAAAAGAACCTTTTTAAATCAAAAGAAACGCAATCCTTTAATCGGCCCAAATCATAAAGTACGTGTAATAAAACAGCCGAAAACCAGAAAGGATGTGTGCGTTATACAAACACATACGTATAAGAGGCAAAAGAGGCAACGTAGACAAAGAAGCGGGGCTTTTTCCGACAGATGTGGACTTGACCTAGTTACAGCGGCGCGTTGGGGTAGGTCCGGAACTTATCGGGTCTTGGGGTGCAATGACTTTATGTTAAGAATTTGTAAAATGTTATTAGTATTTTGTTATTCGGAATTTTGTTAATTTATTGTAAAATAAATTACTAGACATTTTGTATGTATACAAGGCAGTATTTTTTTGTAAGATTTTTAATACATCTAAGATAACAAATTAAACTTATCGATCACTTTCAAACCCAAATCTTTATATTACTATATTACTTTACTAGCTTTTACTCACAACTTTGTTCACGTAACTGGAATATATTCATTTACCGAAATAAAAAGTAGCTCATGTCCTTCTTCATTCCATATAATACGTGTATACTAAATTTTATAGTAATTGGTTACACCGTTAAGACATTATGAGACAACAAAAAAACATACATAAACATTTATAATAAGAGTAAAGATTTAATTATAAGCCACAGATAATCTATACAACTTATACCGTGATTCGTTGCCATTCCTGACGATTAAGACAAATATGTCTTTCGTATCAGAAATAACATATCAGTCTTTAATATTATTTATATTACATATAAGAACATAGATATTTACGATATTAAATAAGTACAGTTAAATATGCCTAAATTACTACAGAAGATGTAAAATGTCAGCTTTATTAATTCAAGTAGTTTACACAACCTCTTAAACAATGATAAAAGAATATTCAGTCTATAAAAAAAAACTGATTATTACGCCTCGTTTATTATCTGTGGTATGGCGAAACTTTACCAAATTATCAATGTATGGAACCACTATATGAATGTAGTTTTTTTATGGATTTTCGGTAAAGTATTTAAGCCATCCTGTTCTCGATATTGGATACAGGTGACGGAATGCTTATACAAGAGGGTACATGGTGGGCGTAATTTAAACGTAATATTTGAGGAGCATTAGGAAGGTAAATGAACGGCCGGATACTGCAACAAATGAGTATGTGTTCGGCCTCCGTACTGGCGACCTCTGCTGTCTACCGGTTCCCAATTTGAGGGACGACCGACGACCGGCCGTAAGAGTATATGAATGTAGTATCCGGAGTATGTACAAGTATGCTTGTTTGCCAACAGACGAGTCGGGATGCGAGGCTGATATGTTGGAGGGCGCGGAGGTGGGACGGCACACGCCGCCCCGGCCGCAGCAAGAGCCCATTAATCTCAAGAATGAGGTAAGTTTTAATAATACTCAGAAAGTATACATGTTTCTGGGTTCCGTGACTGCTGGAATAGAATAAATGAATAACTATACTTTATTTGCATTATACATTATAGATTTTATCTACAAGTACTTATTGGTATCTTAGACTACGAAATAGAAATATAAATGTTATACTAGTACTGAAACATATTTGCGTGTCCGATACTTTATCAGTTATAATATCAGAATCATATATCAGAATATCAGTTACTAATTCATTAATATCAGTATTGTTTCTGATTTATCAATCAACTTCAAAAGAAGGAGATTTTGAATTCGGTTATAATTTTTTCATTAATTTCTTCCTTCGTCAGTTCTAAACCAAATTGGAAAATTTATACTTTTTCTTTTTTGAAATTAAAAAAGGTTTTGTCACAATTGAAGTTGGTTTTTTTGTTGTACACAATCTTTATAATATTCTTGTAATTAAAAAACTTTTTAATGCTTTTTTGGTAATAAGCTGAGTATATAATAGGAATATCATTTCTTTAAATATTTGTACAATTTAGGTTTAACTATATGGGAATTTTAATATACAATGCCAACAAATAATTTTAAACAAATTTTGTGGTATTCACTTACACGAAGCATACGGCTAAAGAAAATTAAAATAACAAAAACAAGGACAAAGTTGAGTGCGAATAAGCGCGCTCGATTCTCAAGTGTTGACCGGGCAGTTAGTCCTGGAGCCGAAAAGGCAAAAAGACGACGCGCTCCCAACTCAAAAGGTCCTGGCAATTGCATCGAAAGACTAAACATCCAGCACCGCTTCGTTAGAGCTCTGTGCTAAAACGTGAAACGATTCGGTGCCGACCAATCGGCGTGGTACTGGCGCAACCTACTTGCCTCAGAATCTATAGTATCGATTAGTGAACGCTTTTTTTACCCGCACGCACTCACACACTGCCGCGGCGGGGGCCAGCGTTTTTAACAATCTTTTTTTCGACCACCCCTCCACCCCCAAAACCGCCATGTCCATTGCGCGGATGCAAAGACCACCCCGCGCGCCCCACCCCTCATATAGCAGCATTGAAAATGGAATTTCCATGAGTGATGGAGTGTCAAACGGAAAGTGCAAAAAAGGAGAAAAAGTACATTATGTTAATTATTGAACGCGTGCTCCGTCGTCCGAGTTTAAATTGAATGTCATGTCACACGTGTCGTCGAAACCTACGTTCTATTCCGTGCCGTGTGTTGGAAAATTCCTGGCTCTTTTTTTTGTTCCAAAATTAAAAACATGCTCCTTGTTAATGAACAGGGATGTCCTTATTAACATCACAACGAAACGTCATACTTTTCAGATTTGGAATGATGTTTGTGCGTGATAAAGCAAACATATACATAAACATTTTTTGGGTACGCGCAGCCCATACTAGATTTTGTCATCACCATCAGGTGAGCTAAGATAAAGCGCAAACTTATCTTGTAATAAAATATAAAGATTTATTGGATTAAATTAATGATTATACCACTGAAGTGGCAAACAAATATGAGTTAAAATGACGCCTATAGATATGATTAAGGCCACCATCTGTGAATTCTCTGTAAAATATATGCATAAGTATACCTTACCTTAACATACTATATAATATCATGAGAATCACAATTTAAAAAAAATATGTATTTTTTAAACACATACGCATATGTACATACATACATAAAACATATAAGTATGTGTGACATTCAATAGGTAAAAATTCAATTGTGTCTCGTTTAATATCTCTGACTAACAATATCTTGTAATCCTAATTTATACAATATATCACAGCTTTTTTTTCTTTTCCAAGCTATATAAGGCGACGTCGAACAAGGCATTAAAAATAGAAGAAAAATTGAAAATAATATTGTCCGGGTAACGGAATAATAGTAGAAAATCCTCATCTTAGAAGACATCTACGTCGAGACATTGAGTCGTTAAACATGATGATGATGATCTCGTTTTTAACTTGTATTTATTTTTTTTTACTATTTACTAGTAAATACCTATATATTTTGTATATATCATACTAAAAATTCATTTATTTGTTACAAAACATAAACTTTAAATTTCTAATATTTATCTTAAATTTTAGTTCCAAAGTCGTTGTAAGTTGACTATTTGAGTAAGAAAATGAAACCGGATCATATGTAAAGAACTATCACTGGTTAATTATCACCTATTGACTGCGAAGTAATTTGATAGAGCACTAAACAAGTGAATGCGCAAAAACAGCGGACAAAGCGCTCATTTAAAGCGGATAACACAACCGACCGTCCGACAGTCGTAGCTAATGGAAATCCCGAAAAAATATCGGCGAGGAACTAGTTAAAAAAAAAAGCAATACCCGGTGGTGGTGGGAGGGAGAGGGTCTGATAGCCTATTATTATTATTATTACTCGCATTATATCTGCATATTTCGGCGTACCGGCCGTGGACGCCATTTTTATATTCTTCGTTTTTCTTTTTTCACGAAATTGCGTGGCCCGCCCCCTGCACCGCACACATGGGCATTGCAACATAGGTAGCCGGTGATCGAACTATGCGATGTCTACAAGTGGACGAACATTTAAATTGGCTCTCATCAAATATTGACTGCGTGTAGTTTTTTCATTAACCGGCCGGCTTTTTGTGTGGTCTGCTGTAGCTCGATACGATTGCGGTTCAATTTGTTTAAGGGCACCTTTTGATTTTGCTGAACCTGACGATGTGCGTAGTCTTACAACACGCGCTAATTAGGTAGCATTTTCAGAATTTATATGCTGTGAATTTTTTAGTAGCTGAATACTATCACATATAAGTAGTTACGTTCTTATAAATTCCAAAGATCTTGAGTTCATATTTGGCTAAGACAAAAACTTCAATTAATTTTTCAATAATAAAAAACACTATTAAGAAGTAAAATTAATTCTAGAGGCTGCACTGTTCACTACTTGCCTCCATATTTAGTTGAGTATAATAGAAGTCATGGTTCTAAGCCCTAGCTGCTGACAAAAATTTGTTATATGATTTCAAAATACAGAGGGCCTACCATGAAATATTTTCCGAAATTTCGGAGCCGTACGAAACACAAATTTGATGTTAAAATTACATAATACTTACCGTTTAAAAACATTAAAAATATTAAAATATTATTATTTTGGACTTTTATGGTAGGATTTATGACGAACGAAATGTTAAGCTCCATTTACTGGGCCGATTTAGGTATGAACGAAAACACGAAATTGAGTCCGAAACTTCGGAATTTCATTTCATGGTAGGCCCCCTAGTTTTCTGTCACATTACTTTCAACATTTTCATACTACAAAATTTACAGGTTAACTTTTTTAATTTCATATTTTATCGCTATAGGAATTAGCCGACTAGTAGTCCACTGTTAGACATAGGTCTTTCTCAAAGTACACCACTGCGAACGTAAAAACATTTTTTTTCGTATATTTTCACTTTATTAAAAAACTTTGTATTAAAACATTAAAATGTTGCCTACATAAGTATGTCCCAATCCCAATCCACAGCTTCACAGTACTGGGAATAATGTTGCCGCGAACCGTATTTATTATCATTAAAAAAATGCAAAAAATCATAATTAAAGGGGTGGCGGCGCAGGGGTGCATCCCATTTTTTACTTTAATTGGCTTGTAAATTACGAAAGTTATAGTGAAAATGTCGTGTGGTTTTTTCAGTGTCGCACTGTACACTTTGTTTATTTTTTTCCACCATGCTAAAATGTTTTATTGTTATAGTTGCGGATGTATTTTTAATTGACATATATTCAGTTTATGCGTTATATTGTTTTTATTTAAAACGTGTTTTTAAATTATAATAACAGATTACTAAGTAATAATACTTATTACTTATTTATACTACTTTGGTAGCAAACGAGCATACGGCTCGTCTGATAGTAAACAGGGTTACCGTAGCGTATAACACCAGGGATGTCACACGTGCGTCGCCGACCAATGCTTACAAGACTTACAATGCTGCGTAAGTGTAATAACTATTATTTTATTTTAATTTCAATCTCTTCCACGCACAACTACTCTTTGGAATTAATTTCTTTTTAAAAGGCCGGCAGCACACATGCAATACCGTAGGTGTTGTGGGTGACCATGGGCGGCGGTAGTCACTTACCATCAGGTGAGCCGCGTGCTCGTTTAGGGGGCAAACGAGTGTAGTAAAAAAAGTTCTTTTAGCTGCTCAAAAACAATACAAAACAATACCTATAACTGTGTGAGAAATTGTTTAATAACTAATTATAATGTGTGTAAAAAATATAAATAAATAAATATAAAATATTCGATGAACTAAATTACAACGATAGGTAACTATTGTAAGTAACAGTCTATTCAATAGAAATTAATAAACAGATAGTTGTATTTCACCAATAATTGCACATTCTTAATTAACGGCGAAACGAAACGCAATAAAGTCGGGAAGAAGGCAAAAGAAACAAAACGCCGTAGAAATAAGGAGCACTGGAAATACAAATTAATAAAGAGAATTTCAATGCAATTTTAATGTGATAAGAATTGGTTTGATTAAAATCGTTCGTTCGGCTTTCAGTGGCTTTTGTACGTCTATTGAATGTTCACTTGTAAAGTTTTTAAGCACGAAACTAACTTTAGAATTAAGGATATTTGAATACATTATTTAATTCAAGTTTAGTCGTTATTTTTAAAGCGGTCATATCTTATTTACACAACACTTAACTACAATCCGAAACTTTTAAAATTGAATCTAAAACATCAGTCTTAAGTCTCAATTTTTTTAAATTTATGTTCAGATAATTTAAAAATAATTCACTTGTACGTGCTTTGGAGGGCGCGTAAAGTCTTCGCCCAGTAACCACGTCAGAGACCGCGCGTACATAACAAAGGCAATCCAAAATAATCGTCAAAGTAAACGTCAAGTGTGCCAACCTAACACGCGTTGTAGAAAAATATTGTTAGTTAAAATGGTAGTACTCGTAATATTTATTCAATTAATTAAATGTC